CATTTTAATAACAGCTAAAGGTGACATAGATACTTTATTATGGTATAGTATTTAAATGTATGCCTGAGAAACACATAATATTGGCCCTTTAAGACTTACTCTGGGTTGCAGTTCAGCTTCTGCAGGTCTTGGGGAAGGCAGGGCGTTGGGGCAGGAATTGGACTTGGTGGCAGCAGGTTCCTCTCCTGCAGCAGGTTGACCACCCTCAGGGCCTCTGGGGTTTTGGACTGGAGGCTCATGTTTGCCAACGATGGGCTCAGCTGAGCTGGACCTAGACCACCGGGAGGCTGAGAGAAGGTCAAATAATGAGCAAAAGTATTCTCTGGTTAACTGAAACCTAGACACTGGTATCACTTTCAGTCCAGACAATAACGTATGAGGAACCCATAAAAAGACACGAGCACAGAAAGTGTTTAGTCGGCACATTTCACCTGCTGGTACGGCTGAGGTCCTTGACTGTAAGGCTGGGTGGCAGCTTGAATTGCTGGGTGTAGGGAGGAGGGCGCAGGAGGAGCTGGGGTGTTCTGGTACCCAGGTGGGAGGGAAGGGTAGTGACCCAAGTGTCGACCAGGTGGACCCGGCTGAGCGGGGCCAGCTGGGGATCAAACAGGGAACAAAGAACCATTACAGAAGCCCAGAAGCTCTTCGAAAAGGGCACAACCAAAAGCTGCACCTATCTATCAGTTTAATAAAAGTCTGCAGCCTTCACTCGTCTCCCAGAGGCACGTTCACTGTGGTTCTGCCTTATTCAAAACAGAATTTAACGATGTATTTGGTTAAGATGTTTTTCATCTGCAGAATAACAACTCCTATGTGGCCGACACATTTACACAGACGCAGTACAAACAATTGTTTTGTGTTGTGACTGTGCAAAAAGGCCTTACCCATTCTGCTGTCCACATGATTGTAGCTGTTCGGAGCCTGTGAGCCACTGGCAGCCACAGCTCCTGTATCAAATRAAACACATTAGGAYTTWTTTTGGGGAGATATGTTAATATTTGTGACCCATCATATCAAAATGAGGGTTAAGTCAAATTTGGTCAAAATGACSTAATTACATTTTCAYATTCTTGGCTTTAAAAGCTACATTTTGATACCTGGATCATTCTGATATCGTAATTAAATCCATATATATGATTTAATTTGTCTTGTTGGTTACAATAATACATAAATATTTGGTCTGAATCCTAATTTTGTCATTTTAATGAGGAATTTTTGATGTCCTTATAAAGAGGAAACCTCAAATTATATTTGAATATTGAGATTTCTTATATTTGCCTTTTTCTCCTTATACAACTTTTGGACTTAATCCTCATTTTGATGTGATGGGTCACATTTGTGATCCAGTGTGCGGTCAAACAATGATGGGATGGTGCGAGATAGGARATAAAAATGTACGTAAAGTTAAAGTAGTACTAATTAAGTTATTTATGGAAAATAATGTRGTTTTAAAGGCTACATTTAGATGACATAAAGACAAAACTAATGTAAATATTTACCATGGACGTGCACTGATTTGTAACAAAACAATCAGAGTTTGAGACAGCACCTGAACTTTTCAATAATTGTGTTACTTTTATGAAATAATTCATAAAAGTAACAAAAACTGGTAGGTACATCCATTCATACGACAGCATCGTTTCCACCACAGCACTGACACAACACCGAACAGCTAAATGACACCAGACAGGTGATGATTTGGTCACACCTGGACATTCAATATCCTCTCCCTGGAAGTCGGGCTCAGTGTGAGGAAAAGTGTTGTTGACAACCCCCCCACACTGAGCTGGCATGTTTAGGGAGGGGAAACAACACAGGGAGGTCAGAAAAGTCTTTCAGGAGGTTACACGCTTTTATTATTATTATTAATGGTTGTCACTTTAAAATGAATACGCCACACAAAATAAAAACATACCATCCACTTTGGGGGGTGGAGGTGTGGCACTGGCCATTGGGGCACCAGTTGGAGGTGGTGTGGGTCTCATGGTGGGTGGTTGACCTGTAGGTGGAGGCCCATAGGCAGGTCTCATAGTTTGGTACGTGTGGGGAGCCATTGGTGGAGGTGCAGAGCCTGGTTGAAAGGAAAAAAATAAATGCATCTTTCCATTTATTGTTTTATTATGAGATTTTATAGCTTTGGTGTTTATTTTAAAATGCCTGAATTATAGGCAATGTGGGTAGAGTGTAAAATCCTGAATGTTTTGTTGGTTCTCCTGCTCAAACACACCAGATACAGTGATTGAATTACCTCTTCAAGTTCTACAAAAGCCATTTTAATCACCTATTTATTCAAATCAATAGGATAGATGCCTTCAAAGACCACGACTGACAAAAAAAATGACCTTCACGATTGAAAGAAATTTTCTAAAAACAGAGAATCATGTGACCTTTGTGAGTAATGCACTGAGAGGCAAAAATCACAAACTTCTCTAGTAAATCTGTCACAGTGATAAGAAATGAGGCAACCGATTAAGGCCATGCCTATTCTCATGTAATTAAACCATTTCCTCTTAGAAAAGCTTTTCTGAAATCCTGTGTGTGATTTCCTGTTTCTTGTTGCATCATAATCATTATTTAGAAACACAAAAAGCAACTTGAAACTAAAAAATATAGATAAAATGTGTGTTTAGCTCTGAAAGTTATGTCGTGTTTAGGGATCAGTCTAGAAATATGAAAAGGTCTAAACTGAACTTTGTACAGACTGGGAGTAAACGAGTCCCTGTGCCTGGGACGGAGCCAGAGGCAGCAGCAACCAGCCAACATGTTCAGCACAAGAGCAGAGGGCAACGTCCAGCTTCCACATATCACAACTTTAGATATGTTTATCAGCAGCCCGTCACTGAATAATGACAATTACAGAACTAAGATAACATAGTATTTAAGTAATCAAGTAACTGGGAAAAGTAAGCAGTGGACATTTTTTCAAATTCACTCATTGTATTTTTAAACACTGAATCTGCAACAGTGAATCAATAATTATTGATGTAAACTATAAAAAAAGACTTAATTTATTTTATACAAAGCTCTCAACAACAAAGCTCCATATTACATTAAAGATCTTATTGTTCCATGTTTCTCTCTTGTTTTCTTGCTGTAAAACTCCAGTTTGTGTTCATGAGGCTGACACCATTTCTAAGACCAGGCTTAAAGGGGCAATATCATGTAAAATCAACTTTTTTGAGTTTTATATCATGTTATAATGTTATACTCTCATAAAAACATGTCCAAAGCCTTGCTCTGACTCATTCATCATGTTTGAGAAATCCTGCAGTGTTTTTATGAAGCCATGCTGAGGAGCAAAACGACAGGTGGGGACCAGAAACACCTCTGGGACGTGTCTTTAAGCTGAACTTCCTCATGGCAGAGCCCCCCCACAACACACACACACACACACACCCCGCCCATGACCCCTGCAGTCTATCGGCAGCAAGTCTCTGCGGACGAGTGGGCGTGTCACAAGGAAAGGCGATTCTAAAGCGACACACCCGATTTGACGGACTTTGTTAAAGGGACACACCTGACTGGACAAGCAAAAAAGGGGCGTCACCGTACGGCACCACCTGATTGGACAAGAACAAAAGGGGCGTTACTGTACGGCACCAATTTTTCTGTAGAACCCTACTTGGGTCACATTTGTCCTGGTTAACCTTAGTGTTGGGGTCAGGGTCAGGCTGTAAAGAGATCAAGCAGGATCTAAGGATACAGTCATGTAGGCCTCATAGCCCACAGTTTTTGCTTTAGACACGCCCACTCTTGTGACACGCCCACTTTGATTCTGCAGATAACCCCTTCTCCTCAGCAGTAACAAAGCAAAGTGAAAGTGAAACTTAACTGTCTGCTGCTCTCAACACTACTTCTCACTCAGTGAAGCTCTTTTCAGATTAAAAATACCTTTGAGGAAATGTATTTTCAGATGCCAAYTAAACTGCATCATAGCYCACGCGCAACCTGCCATATATTCAAACTGCTGGAGGACAAAATGACCACATTTCCTCACTCTGCTGTCATCTTTACTCACTCTACTCTCCATTTTAATTATTTACACTTTATTTGCTTTTCTTTCCATGAAAACTACACCTGGCTGGACCAACACTTACTTTCCTGTCCTCTCAACCCTGAGCTGTTAGAAACAAATGTCTATTCATCCAGAGCCACTTCTGTGTTTGCTCAGGACGGGAGATTGWAACAACGCGAAAATGTGACATAATCTGATGGTTTCCTTAGATTGATAACTTTTAATTACAATTTACTACAATGTGTTGGCTCGCTAACAACATCCTATCTGTATGAAGTGTAAATTGTTGCTTTCTTCTGTGAAGATATTTCTTCAGATCTAAATTATGTTGTGCTTCTGAACAGAACAAAGGAGATTACAAGCTTGGCCATCACTAGCTGCGTTTCCATTGACCATGAAAATGCACAAATTAGAATTTCGAAAATAAATTTGCTCAATGGAAACACGTCAGTTTCGAAAAAAATTACGTTTTTCGACAAAATGTTTTCACACTAGGATGAGGTGGTTTTTCGGCCGTATCGAAATTGGTGTTTTTCGCAAAACTGTAATGGAAACACTTTTTTGGCATCACGGGAGTCATGTGATCAACAACCGGCTGTTTCTACTGCAAAAAAGATGACGACGAAGAAGATAACAGGAAGAAGTAGAAGTAGTAGTAATATCACAGAAGTAGTATAAAATAGTAAACTCACCGACTACAATTTCCCAAAAACACAGCATACGTAGCCGCTCCCAAATAGGGACTTGTCTCTGGAAAGCCTCGATAAAAGACGCCGACGTCTCCTCTGATGATGAGCGCTAGTGTCGRGGTAGCAACATGCTATGTGTTTACATCCATCGCCGCCATGTTTGTAATGACTTATCGCGAGAACAAACGTATTCAGGCGTGACTTTAATAGCATTTCTTACTCGATGGAAACACTGCAGTTGCGAAACTGTGTTTTCCGACATTAAGAGAATATTGACAAAGTTTTGTGTACATTTGCAATGGAAACACAGCTAGTGAAGCCTTTGTGTTCCTACCTGGCTGAGTGAATCCATGCATAGAAGTGGGGGGAACTCCTGGGCCTGAGATCTGGGCGGGACTACTGGACATTTTTGGTGGTGGTGCAGAGCTGTAAGCTGCTGATGACAGAGGAGACGGTGCAGCTAAGCTCACAGTTGGATTCACATGATTAGTCAAAGGCCCTCTGGGGGGTGTGTTCACTGAGGTGGCTGCCCCCATTGGTGGAACTGCTGTGTTGTACTGCCATGTAGGAGCCATTGGCTGCTGAGGGTTTGCGTAGTAGCCGCTAGACGACACAGAAGGAGGAGGAGGTGTAGCTTGTGCAGGGGGGATCCTAGGACCAGGGCTGGGGCTGGCAGACTGAGGAGGGGTATGGGATGGAAGACCTCCCAGTGGAGGTCTGGATAATAGTGGCTGGCCTGGAAAGGAAGGGTCCGGCTGGTAGAAGCTGACAGGGGGAACTGGCTGATATGGTCCAGAGGGGTAGAGACCAGGACCAGGGGGTGCGGGAGCTTTGGCCTGCATTGGATTGTAGGCTGGTTGGTGATTCATGTCATAGTTGACTCCTAGAGGCTGATGCAGGGCAACTGGGTTCTGTGACGGACCTGGAGACAAGCAAGTAGAAAAGACAGAACATGTTAATCATTTTATTCACTCAGCAATTAAATTAAAACATGCTAAAAGACATTTTTTATTAAAACAACTCACGATTAAAGATGTTCAAAGATTACAAGCACAGATCTAGTAGAAACACCACGTAAAAAAAAAACATTTGAGGTCTAATTTAATTTAGCATGATCTGCCCTCACGGTGACAGTGACTGCACAGTTTTTTCTAACCGTTTTACTGAAAATCGCTACAGTAAACTACTTTAGAAAATACCTTTACACGTTTCTGATAATTTGGATATTTAAAAATACAATGGTTAAAAGAGAAAAACAATTATCTTAAATATTTAAATAAATGTGTGGAAAATAAATAGCAGTATAAACTCTGAATGAATACATACTGTATATAACAGCCTGTTTGAACAATTTAAATTACAGAGTCAGTGTGTGGTTGTTTGCAGCCTAAATCAGRAACAGGCACTAACAAATGTCCAGATTACTGTCATCAATGAGTGCGCAAGGGTATAAGTCAGATGTGTGAAGACACCTTTGACTCAGCTGTGGGTGGGTGAAAATATAAATTCATCAACGCATTGCAATTTTCTTTTGTCCAATTCAATAACAATTCAGAAAATCATCTGATTTATCTCACTCATGTTAGCACTCATATTTAGGACAAATATTACTGTGCTACTGCTTTGTTTTTATATTTCAAATATGTTAATGTATACCATTTTTGTTTACATAGAGGAGAATAAAAAAAATCTAAAAATTATCCACAGGGACTCTAATGAATTATTTGTGTACTTCTTAATTTTATGAAATTGATATTGAAGCATTTAAGCAATATCAAATTGAAACTGAATAGTGAGTAAATAGATTCATATTTAGTGGACCTCTCTGTGGATATGTTCAGTTTTATTTCTTTTTACTGCAGTATTGTTACAAACATTTCACAAGACATGAACTCACAGCTTCCAACATAAGCTGTGTCAAAAAAACTGCATATCTGCATGATTACATTTTTATTGACAGAATAAAATCAATCCACAATCTAATTTACTTTACATAACAGTAATCAGGTTTGACATTAATTTACATGAATTATTCTGCAAATCCAAGTTTTGTTATGATGTTTAAAACTGCTCTAATAAAAGAGATCTGCATTTAAATTAAAGTGTATAACTTTAACAATAAAGCTGAAGCATTATGAACTTCAAAAGCCACAAGTCTGCTGAATCCAAGAAAAGTCTGTCACATGTTACTGACAGTAGGGTTGGGCAATATTGGCAAAAAAAATAATCACGATTAATTGTGGTATTTAGCCGATAAATCACCTGGAGTCCCTGGACGCCCTTGTGTCCTAGTCACATGACCAATTTAGTGGGAAAGATTTGCTCTTCATACAAAGTAGGGATGTTGACATTTCGTCAGCAYCTGCTGCCATTTTCTGCTCAAACTGCTGTGACCAGATTTTGCAAGGCTGCTCGGTGCGTTTGCTTGTWATTTCCTCCTGCTTCGTTATTTCTACGYGTTTCAACAAATCGGGCTGCCGTCAGGTAGTTAGCTACAGCCTCGTCTTCGAGTTTTTAATTTTTGTTGATGTGTTTTGAAGAGACAATTTTTTGAAAAGAGGATCAAAGTTAATCTCGAGTTTTTCTAGTGACTCTTAAAGAGAAAAGCTGCCATGAAGAACATTATTTTATCTGCCCTTCTTCCAAATTTGATAATGATTTGAAACGTCGAAGTATGTTTTTTTTTAATCCGGAACAGTGCTTGTTGCAAAGTGTGTTGATGCTCGTCTTTGTCACTTGTCACATTTAACACGCTGTCATTGGTTGAGGAGCTTTGTTTACAACATGTCCACATGGTTTTAAATTGTTTTAATTTCCTTACTTTCTAAGACACATTAAGTTGATTTGATGCTACAGTTTGCCTTGTAATGTGATTTTATACCTTTTCTGCTACATTTGAATTGACTATTATTAAGTTTTATTAGTTTTTTAGGATACAAGATGCTTCCTACAAAACCAGAATGGGAATCTTTTCCTAAAATTTCATGGCTGATTTCTTGAACACTGAGGAAGTTAGGAGCAAAATTAGAAAACAGCAAGGTGAAATGATCCCATTGGTTCTGCTGTGAACTGCAGCATGAAAACATGAGCTGATTTCACCTGAACAAACATCAATAACTTCCCTCATACTTTCAGATAATCACATGATTTTGGTGTRATTTTGTATGGTTTGAAATGTTCTTCTGGAATCCGCTGTCAGATTTAAAATTGGTGTAGGATTACAAATTTATCCACATCCCTATATAAATCTGTTCCAAACTGTGTCAAAATTACAGACTTCAGGCTATACATCAAATTTTAAATTGTGTTGATAGATAAATAAATTACGGATTTTTTTTAAATGATCATATTTGAAGCAGAGAGGAGCAGCGAGCGGACTCTGCCTGGTGGCATTAATCGTATTAATCGTCAAGTGCCAAAAAGTAATCGATTAAGGTTTTTCTGACGATTAATTGCACACGATACGATTATGTCCAACCCTAACTGACAGCTTACGCAGCTGTTATCTACTGCCTCTGGGTTGTTTGCACAAATTGTTTAAGGAGAGACAATGGAAATGTGTGGATAATTACTAACACTGTTTCAGATACAAACATTTTTTCACCCAAGCTGATCTGGGTCAATCCCAATGTGCCACATGTGCAAAACTAGAGTGAGCGCTTTGCAAACAGTTGAAAAAAAAACTTTTTTATAGCAGAACCACAAGCAAACTGACTATCATACACAAAAAGACAGCTCGCTGTTGGACAAACCCTGCAAAACCTCAAAGAAGACGTGAGAAAATAACAAGTTACAGCCTGTTACTTGTTCTACGACACTTATACGAGAAGCCAGAGGGGAAATTATTACCTGTCAAACAGACATAATACAGTAATTGGAGGTGGTATGTGCTCTGGGAAAGWCTGAATAACAAACCACACGACTTTATTAGTTCGTAATGCTTTCAAAACCTTTGGACAATATTTTGTTTGCCACCTCGACAAAATCAAAACTAACCAAAGCTAGCTAGCTATTAGCCATGCTATTTGCTAGCTAAGCAAATACCTTCACGATAGCGACTCTTGTGGTCAAACCTAAGACAGGGAGGTAACACGGGTCAAGATTAACAAAGTTATCCGAGCGTGGACATACTTTACAGCTCATCTTTACTTAGCTATTACTAGCTAACGGATGCTAGCCACACATAAATGACTCCTGCTAGCTACCAGCTAACCAACAACGTTAGCTTAACTCGTCTTCACGTCCATTTTTAAAGTTACTTACCATTCGCGTACGTCTGCGCCGTCTCAGTGCCATTCTGAGAGTTGAAGCCCGCTGTTGACATCATGAAACATACACCAGAATCTAATTTAGAGGCTCGTCTGTAGCTAGCTACTTAGCTGTCCGTCGCGGGGTTTAAACCTGTGAAGCTCTTGACGATGACGACTGTAAAAATGGCGCCTGAAGTCAAATCTCCTAGTTTCTTTAACAGTTATTAATTACGCGACTTGCTCGCTTATCACAGTCATGATAACTATCAAAAGCCCWGTTCGACTACCAACGAGTTGGTAACGATGGGCCTGCTCAGAGTAAAAAACCGTGTGAGCGATACTTCTCCCCTCTCACCGGAAGTTGGGATCACCCTGCAGGATCAACGTAAAAAAAAATTGTTGGGCATGCGCAGTGTGTACACGTGGCATTTCCTCTGGTGCGCRGGGTATTTTAGTGTACCAGAAACTGAAGGCACAGTTCTGTTARTTTATATTTTATAGGCGTTGTTTTTTAAGCATATGCTCAGTCCAGATTCAACACAATCACAACAATAATGACATCCCATAKTGAACTGATGAATTAGGCCTATTGYATYATTTTACTGCTTTAATGTGCAACAAATCGACCCTCAGAGATACTTTTCTGAATTGGATGTTTTTATTAATCTTTTTTTTTTATTAAAACACAACCTATATTTGACATGTGTTTTAATGATTTCAATATGTTTTATTAGATAGATAGATAGATAGATAGATAGATAGATAGATAGATAGATAGATAGATAGATAGATAGATAGATAGATAGATAGATAGATAGAAACAGG